CCATGCCTTGGGTTGGGCGAAGTGCGAAACCGTCAGCACTTTCGAAGGCTGCTGGGGGGGGACCGAACGGTGCAGGAAGGAAGCGGAGCGGCTGGTGGGCGCGCTTGGCCACGTTCGCTTCCTGCAACTAGTTACGAACAGCTGCTCGTTCGAATCGACAGAGCGAAATGACGCGGGCATCCCTGCCCATCACCAGCCAGAGCCACATGAAACAATCGCAACCATCCTTTCTCATCCCTCCTCCCTCGTTGTCGTCCTCTCTTTCCTCCATTTCCCTGTTGTTGCCGCGTTGACTTTTCGGCTCCACTTCCGTTCTCTTCCTGCCCCATCGTTCCCTTCCCCTTCCTCGTCGAGCTTGGGGGATCATTCCTCGTCTTTCTGTTGCTGTCCTGTGGAAGGTGCAACGCACGCGCATCGCAGTAGATTGCACGATGAGTTCATGCACTGTCGTTGTCCATACAACTTTGGGCCAACCGTTTTGGTCACTTGATGCAAATCGGTCGGGTACGTCGCAGAGAACATCGCAGTTAACACATTCATTGTCATACCACCCCCTCGTCCTCTCATATTAATCCTCACCATTCGTGAGGGGCTGCGGAGTGCAGAATTGTCACCACTTTCGAGGGGGTCATGGCGCAGACTCATGTTAGACTTCAACATCCTTGGGGGGCTGCGATCGCCAGTTTGGGCTGCTTTTTTGGAGAGGTGCATAATGGGCACCAAGCGCAGTCTCTGTTTAAAGCTCACCACCCCAGGGGGGATGTGCGCTGCGAGACTGTCGCCAATTTCGAAGGCTACTGGGCGGCCGTATTGGGGGGCCACTTGTGCAGCTTTGGCGCCCCTCTTGGGCAGTCTCCGGGTCCTCTTCTGGGTCTCGTGGGCCGGCACAGGCTTGTGTGACGGGCTCCTTGGCCCGTTTTGAGCATGAGGACGGCCGAAACCTTCAAAAACACATGGGAAACCCACGACCGTTGCTGATTCTCGGGCTTACGCCGCACCCCCTGGGGGTGTAGTAGATGCCGTCCTGTGGGGGCCTCGTGTCAGCCTTGTGGGGGTTCTGGTGGGACCTCATGTGGTCTTCTTGGGGCCGAGGGCTCGGAGTGTCCGATCGGGTCCTTCGGCTAGTTTTCTTTTGGAGTTGGTCTTGAGCGCCTCTGTGGGCGTCGTGGAGGTCGCAGCCGAGAAGGCGAGCAAGGCAAGAACCGGGGAAGAACACATGAAAATACATACATATTGTTTGCCTCTTGGGACCCTCGTGGGAGATGTCTTCGAAGCCTGTTGGGGAGTCTCGGAGGCATCTTGGGCTGTCTGGAGGTCGCCGTGGGCGTCTTCGGACGATGTTTCGGCGACTTGGGGCCTTCGTGGACCGTCTTGGACGTCTCTTGTGGCCCTCGTGGCCGGTTGTGAAGCCGTCGATGCCACCTTGGCAGAATTGCTGGAGCAAAGTACCCTTCCCAGCTGGCCCGGCCTGGCCGGGTAGACCTTCCCCCGTGGGTATGTTTTGCCCAGGGGTGTGTTTTGTGGGACTCTTGTTGGGGTCTCCAAACCGATTTTGGGGAGCGGGGAGCTGAGTTCGCAGTTCGTGGTCCCCGCCCTGGGCCTTTGATATAGCTGTCTTCGAGCGCTATGAGGCTGACTTGAAGCTCTTTTGGGCCGTCGTGGGGCCAGCGTAGGCTGTCTACAAGCCCGCGTGGGAGCCTCGTCAGTCGTCTGGAGACGGTGTTGGAGGCTTCTTGGGCCGTCGTTCGGACGCCCGAGAAGGCTGGAAGGCCAAACACCTTGGACAAAAAACGATGAAAGCTAACCATTATGCAAGATTATCTAACTGTTGGGGTCCTCTTGGGAAGCCTCTTCGATGCCTCGTGGAACGTCATAGAGGCATCCTAGGGCGCTGTTGCTGCTTCCGGCTGCTGCGGCACTTATGCTTGTATGTGTATCGAATACGCCTACGGCGAATCACCGCCGCCCCCTGCCCCTCTGGAAGCGCCTATGTGGCCGACAGTTGGGCTAGAGCTGGGCCAAGCTATCGGACCAGTTGTTCCCCGAGTCGGTTTGGAAAGCCTTCGGGGAACGCGTGGGGGAGCAATAGGAGGAGGATCAGGATGGGAGGAGGAGGAGGATTAGTAGGAGGATGAGGATGAGGATGAGGATGGGGATTATGGAGGAGGAGGAGTAGGAGGAGGAGACTTCTTGGGGTCCGTCTTGCGAAACCTCTTAGGGGGCCTCTGCGGAGCTTCCTGGGAGCCTTTTGGAGGCCTCTTGGGAGCCTCACAGGGCCTTTAGGGGCTTCTTGGGGGCCTCTTTGGCTGTCTTAGGGCGTTCCCGACTCATCTGACACCGTCGGAAGCCGTCTTGGGGGCCTCTCTGAACCGACTTGGGGCTCTCTTGAGGCGCTTCAGGGCCGTCTTGGAGAGTATTTTGGACGTCTTGGAGGTCGCCGTCTTGGGGGCCATTTGGGCCGTCATGCGACCATCTTGGAGGCCTCTTGAGCGATCTTAGG